CAACAGCAAGCTCAAGGAGCTCAATCACAGCAACCCTCATTTTTTCGTGAGCATAAAAAGCAGTTCATATCATATTCATCATATGAATTATTTTCATAATGACAACCCCTTTATTGAGGGATTTTCAGCGCCTCCATTCATGCGAGGTAGCTCAACTCCTAGCCGAGGAGGATTTGTTCCGCCATCATTTCGTGGTACCCGTGGATTTCCGCCAGCTCGCGGGGGTGCGTACCCACCTTTCCGAGGTGGATACTCAAATACCACAACTACCTCTTCCTCCTCTTCGTCGTCCTCCACCTATCCCGGTTATGGTAGCTATACATCTCAACAAACAACGCCTGTTGTGGACCAGGCAACTAGATTGAAGAAAGTATGCTGCAGCTGTTTTAAATTTCTTTCATTCATTATCAAAGATTATTTTAGTTTTTATTGGGAATCTTTTCAAATTTATTTTCTGCTTTATAACACTGAGGCATCTTACCTGTTTTTCCGATAATTTCTGAAAAGAAGTAGCTATAGCACACTTTTTAAAAATTTTATCTTTGACGGTATACCTTTGAATATGTTTTTTTCCATTTCGAGGAGGGAGATGAGAAAGTCCTTTTCTGAACAACACACGGGAAAAGATGTGAACTTTCTGTTACTCTCAGAAGTCACTCTGTCAGCATTTTCTTACTTGTTCATTACTCAAAGCCGGATTGAGTTTGTGCTATCCCGTTCTGTTTCAGCTTGCCAACTGCGAAGACGATGAAGAGCTTTGGGTTGAAGCTGAGTCGCCCGAGGGAAAGCCGTACTTCTACCATTGGCAAACGCGCGAAACTGTTTGGGATCGCCCAGAGAAGTCAAAAGTGGTCGGGCAAACTGAACTGGCGGAGTTAATTCAGAAGGCGAGTGAGGAGGAACGGAAAGAACGTGAAGGTGAGGTTCTTTATTTGATAGATATTCGTTAGGTGAAGTTGCGGAGGTTCAAGAATTGCTCGATCTTCTGGTATTATTGTCTGTTGTGTGGAAGCTCGTGCAAAACTTGATCATCCACGTGATCGCTCATGCGCAGCATCACAAAAGTCCTCACAGCACTCTTTCTTTGCCATTAGGATCCAATACAAATGTTGTATCATCGAAATATTCGACTGTACTTATATGGGTGACTCGGTAGGAGTTTCAGGATGCAGAGGAGAAACAGGTTAGTGATGAGCAGGTAGAGCGATAAGTTTTCTTGTGTCAAGTGATGCAGTGGACAGGTGTTTCTTCGTTTTTTTGAATTCGTTTTTCCCACCCTATAGTACTCCCATCTCTTCTGTCTGCAATGCGAGACGACACCTCGAATGGAATATAAAGAAGAAGGTTCCTGAGTGATACTGAATTAATCTGGCAGGTTAAATCATTATAATATGATAAAAGGCAAAATGAGAAAATAGTAGTACGCAACCAAAACAAATATACGGGATCTTCCTATCGCTTGTCGGGCACAGTTCAAAATTTCCAAAAAAAAAAACATTATAAAAAGCTTTGAGTTGGCTGACGATAAGTTTGAAGAATTCTGAATTTAGAATTGAGCGTGTTATAGGGATTTCTACGTCTTCAATGTTAGCTTATAATGAGCGAAGTTCTTAGTCCTAGGGTGGAAAGTATCGATCTCCCTGTCAAAATCGGGTGCGCTTTTATATTGTAAAGCCCACCCGATTCGACGGGGAGACTGATACATTCTACCCCTGTTCTTCCTTTTCCTATCTACTGCAATCCTACGCTTTATCTCTGACTTGGCTATTTAGAACTTCTCTTGTTCCGTTTACTTTGTTATCGTCAATTTTCGCGATAATGTTTGCCTGGGGCAGAAGTTTGACCTTGATTTTCATTATCAAATCCTTTCCTTTTTTT